AGTTTTTCTTAAAATTTTATCATTATATTCTGCAAAATTGAGCAGGAAAACCATCATGGTCCTTGGAGATAGTACCACACAAGTGTGGAAGGGAAGATGTCCCTCTGAGCCTGTGTCAAGCAGCCAGCTTCTCATGGTGATGGGACTTCACCCTCTGAGCAGTAGTTGCGATTTTTGGCGGTGTTCTCCACCCTGCAGTATAAGACAAGAAGCTCCTCTCCTACCCACCATGCATTCAGATCAGGCCACAGGGGTTCTGGTCTTGCCTCTGCTACAACCAAGCATCAAGGCACTTCACATTTGTGGTCTTCAGTGTCTTCTTTTCTGAAATGCAGCTGCTTCTGGCCTGCCCACGTTATTCAGTAGAGCACAGAGGCCATTCACATTGTGGGTGTAGTAGACAGATCTGAGTCTCCTCTGGATCACTACCACTATGTAGCGTGGCCTTGGACAAGTTAGTCAATCTCTATAGTAGAGGTAAGAAAGGGGTAATAGTATCTATATCAAGTGGAGCTTCTGAGGAATTGAGGAAATGAGCATGTAAAACTATTTGCACAGTGCCTGGCATAGAGTAAGAACTGACCAAATGGTGGTCTTTTATTATTTTAACCTTCCTAAGTCTGTAGGGGCAGGGGGAGCATGGGATCTGGAGCCATGGAAGTGGGTTCCAATCCTGTTTTCCTCCTTAGAGCTCTTGGGCAGGTTACCTGAGCTTCAGATTCTTTATCTGTGAAACGGAGACAACAACATTTACTTCACAGCATTGTTATGATTTTTAAATGGCATAAAGGGGCAATGTTTGGTCCCCAAGTAAGTTCTCTGCAGTTGTTAAATTTCCTTCAGCGTTTCCCCATGTTCTGCAGTTGAAAAACTAAAATGGAAAACAAATGAGAGCCCTTGGAAAAATAAAACGCTACACAAACTAGACACATAAGTAATTCTTCCTGATAGAGAGAGGACTAAAGACCAGTAAAAAGACCAAACCACAAGTAAAAGGCTGGGGAAGCAGAGAATGTGGGGACTTGGTGAATCTAAGCCTGGGGTAATTAGCCCTTGGTGATTCAAGGGTGATTTTATTCAGTGATTTTTCCTTTTCCTGACATGAATGGCTAGTGTCATGGAAAGGACAAGATATCTGGAGCCAGACCTGTGTTCAAATTCCCACTCCACCATTATGAAAGGGCAGCCTCAGGGCAGTCAATACAACCTTCTCACACCTCAGTTTCTTCACTGGTAAAATCTCAATAATAAATCCTTCTTCAGAGAGGGGTAGTAGAGTGCCTAGCAGAGGAGCTGGTGGAGACATGCTCGGTAAGTCACAGTAGTTTTTCTTCTTCACAGGCCTACTGATTCTGAGCATTTAATTATTCATTTCCCCTAGAGGATATAGATAAAATGTCACAATGTGTAGGTTTCCCAAGACTCGATTTCAAGCCTGATTGCTCTGTTGTCAGATTCTGTATCTGGCCATAGCTCCGCATTGTCCTTGGAGTTAACACAAAGGCCTTTGAGGGTCCGATGATGTAGCCTCTGCCAAATTCTTTGCTTCATCTGCCAAATCCTTTGCTTCATCTTTGTCCACTCTTCACCTTAAGCTCTGCTCTTTCATTCTCCTATGCACCATGCTCTGGCCATGCTCTGCCAAGAACATTCTGTCCACACTCTTCCAATGGATGGCCCCATTTCATCTTTTAGTTCATCTCTTCAAAGGAGCCTGGGTTCTTTGTCAATCCTTTTAATCTCAGGATCATGTTATTTCTTTTATACAATTCATCACAATTTTAATTACATATATTTATTTATTTACTTGTTTTTATGTGTCTCTCCCACTAGATTATAAGCTCTACCAGGACCGAGTTTCTACGTGCTTTCGTTGTTACCCAATAGTCAGAGCCCACTACAAAAGGTTTTTGATGAGTATTTGACTAAAGAATAAATACTAGCTCCTGGATCTTGATCTGAGGTTTAAAGATATAAACAAAAGATATAGGCTGTATGGGCAGGAAAGTTTGTGAACTTGTTGAGCTTCTTAGAGGCTGCTCTGCAATTATTTTTGGATAATTAAGCCCAGTCCTAGTTTATGAGAAAATAACCAGTCACAAAACAACATCCATGGGAAACAAGCAGAAATAGATGCTTCAAATGGTGTGGGGTGGTGGGGGTGAGAGCTTTATTTTCAGTATCCAAAAGGGGAAAGGAACCTACTTCTTAAAAATAGCCAACTTTTAGGCCATAATTATTTCTGTCTGATTTGAGAAAGATGAGCCTGCTGTGCTTGTCCCTGTTTCTCTGTCCAGGCAAACCAATGAACAACTGCCATAAACATGGGTTTCAAGTCCTGGAAGGATCAAAACCACGAGCATAACTCCCAGATAAAAGCTCACAAGAATGTTATCATTCAGCTAAAAGTCTGGAGACTTTTAAGTCTCAATTTTCTTTTTTTTACCCTTTGTGGGAGACTGTTTTGCTGGAATTTCTTTAACATCTTTGGAAATATTTCCATTTGGGGGTTGGGGGGCTTTTACAAACATCTGGACTCATGTTGAGTTTGAGTGAGTTGCTAAGGCTGAAATACTCAAGGACAACCTGATTTATGTGGATACAAAGATTATAATTTGTGTAGCAACCAACTCTTGGATGATGCTTTTTTTTTTTTTTGCGGTTTTTGGCTGGGGCTGGGTTTGAACCCACCACCTCCGGCATATGGGGCCGGTGCCCTACTCCTTGAGCCACAGGTGCCGCCCTTGGATGATGTTAAGTGTATGGCTCGTAAGAATTTTTGAACAGATTAAGAGTTGTCCCTATTGGGAATCCAGCCATGTGAAGGCAGGATGACTGCCTCTTGATTGGGCTACTGCCTCTGGGTGCCCCCAGTCTCTTTCCTATGTACACTGACACTGCCATCAGACAATCTTCTTAAATTTCATTTGTTTCGGTGATTATACCCCTTGCCCATATGCTGATTATGTCCAGGCTTATTTTCTATTGCTCTGTTACCCAAACTGTCTACCAGGTAGATAGGTATTGCTATTGTCCCTTGAACATGCTTTGCTCTTTTCCAGCCTGTGGGCTGAGGACATGTCATCTCTCCCTTGGTGCTACCCACCACCCTCCCCTGGTCTTGCAATGACTCAAGGTGTTCCTTGCAGGCTCCTGCTCACAATAATCCACCTCTGAGTCTCTAAAGGATTCATCATCAGCCCCAAATCCTGCTGCTAATCATGTTTTTCATTTCTTGGGTTGTTGTTTTATATAGTTATTATAGTTATTGTTTTCACATCATCAAGTCTGCCACAATGACCCTAGAAATAGTTTAGAGCAAGAGCCCTTCATCTGTGGACCCATAATTGCGTTTGATACTTTTCTATCCTATCAGTAATTTCTAGTTTCTGGCTAAGGTCGTTCGAGTGTGTTTTTATTCTTTGCAATCAAACACATCTTAAATAAGACATACGTAAGATAAGAATTCCCAACCTGAGGTGAGATTCTTTTTTACAACTCTGAAAACTTAAAGTCACATATATCAATGTTCTAAAAGTATATCTGGGACATTTATTTAAAAAATAGAGATTTAAAATAGGCAGATTCTTTCAGCTCATCCAAACTGACTGCAACAGAATCTCTTGGGAGTAGGTATTGCAAACATGATTCATAAAAAAAAAACTTAGAAGATCAGACGAAGCTGATATTATCGCTCACCATATGCTAGAAAAGGGAAGCAGAAGAGAAAATTATTCACATGCTTAAAGTACCTGTCATATGTCTGGAAAAATACTAGGTATTTTCATTAGTAATCCTTGTAATCCTCAAATAAGCCTATGATGTAAATCTTATCATAAGACCCTTTTTCCAAACAAGGAAAGAATGTCCAAGGATCTGTAAGTGGTAAGTACATGGGCCAGCATTTAAACTCTGTGCTAACTAGCTCTGAGATTCTTCTCATTCTGCTTTCCATCCTGTCACAGCTCCCAGCAATCCTTGGAGGGAGAGGTAGCATGGAGGCACAGCCATGCCAGAGGTCTCCTAGGTAGGTCTAAGGAAGCTGGTAGATTCTGAGCCCCCAGCTGCTAACCCTTAGGTCAAGACCCCTTGACATTGTAAGAGGGAAGTGATCCTCTGAAGCCTGGTGAGCTTCTAGTGAAGACTGTGCGATGCCTGTCTGGTCACGAAACCTAAAGGTGGAAGCGACACCACCTCAGGATGTCATGTCACTGGATAGTATGCACACTGATTTGCGGCTGAGGCTTTAAAGACCAGGGTCTGATATTCCAAGGGTCTGGCCTGTGTGTAGAAGGCAGAAAAGAGAGACCTGGAGGCCAGCGTCCTTTGGAAAGTCACCAGCCCTCCTTTACACACACAGGCCAGGAAAGCAACCTGTGTGTGTAAAGGAGGGCTGGTGACTTTCCAAAGAACAATGGAGCACGTCATTTGGGATTATCCATCTAAAGGTGGTTCTTAAGCTTGGCTCTACATTAGACTCACTGGGGAGATTTAAAAAATTCCTGAGGCCCAGGCTGCTTCCCAGATCACAGACCAGATCATGTTTTCTACAGCTATGAAGAAGAGTGCCTGGTCTAAGGTGTCTCCCATAGCCAAGTGATCTAGGTCTGGTCTGCAAATGCTCTGGGGGCAGCCTGTGCTCAGAGTCAGCCGGGAAAGCTGAGGTCGTTGAAGCCTTCCCAGTCGTGACTGAACACAGGGTGCTATGGTATGCCCTGTAAGCGACCTAAGAGGACTGACTGAAGTTTGGCTCACTGGCAGAGCAAAGTTCCACCCAATTTTTAATTTTCCATTGTAGGGTAGAAATGGCACAGGAAAATGAGAAAAGATATGCATGAAAGCAGAAGGGAGAGGCGGGCGTGGCAAACACTAAGATACATGAAAAGATGTTCTCTCAGGCAGGAAAATCACCAGCTTTGGAGAGATGAACTGGAGTATTAGGAGCACAGAGGGGCAGAAGGTGCCTGGACGTCCCATCTCAGAAGACGTGCTCTACTCACTGAGTGGATGATGCCTTGCAGAGCCTGGAAGCCGTCATTCACAGGAAACACATGATCCTTACTGTCTGCGATCCGGGCCAGCTGAGAACACAGCGAACACACGGAAACATGTCAGGCTTGGACATGGGGAATTTAGGAAAGCCACTGGGGTCAGGGGACTCATCCTTCCAGAACTCAAAGGACCAGGAGGATTTTACTGGGCTGCAGGGGCCTCTCTGAAAAGCCTTCAGTAATAATAAGCTTACCAGCAGTCTCTCCGGAGCAGGCCCAGAGGGTCAGTTTCAGCTTTTATGTTTGTTTTAATACTGCTCTTTTTGGGAGGAGAGGTTAAGCGTGGCCAGCCTGATGAACGTTTGGCCTGAGTCTTATGAATCTAGGGATAGGCCATTGGCTTATTTTTCTTCCATTCACCCAAATTCCTGTTGGTAACTTTATTCAAATCAAACAGACTCAAGTTTCCTTTCAGAGCAACTTTAAAAATAAATTCAAGTTTTGGTGAAGCCAGTGAATGGGAGCCCTAACCTTTCACCCAAACCACTCGTTAAGAAAAGGGCCTTTGCATTGGTTGGGCTGCTGCTGCTATAAGGAGCTGAGGACCAAAGGCAAGGAGAAGCTGATCTCTGAGCTTTTTTATGCCCAAATCTCTGTGTAGTTCTGTGATTGCCACAGTCAGAGTCAGAGCCGGCAATGTATGGTTCAAAAAATAATGTCTTTTTTTGTTTTTGCTGACTGAGAATGTGATACTTACTCTTGCAAAAATTTAGGAAAATCCAAGGCAGTTAAAGTAAAAAGGAAACAAAGATTACTCATAATCTACCCATCTATCTTTATTCACAATTTGATAGATATGGATCTTCATAGTTTTTCTACACAAGTCCACAAATATTTATTTTAAAAGTGGGCACGTGCTATGCTCATTCCGTTGTAATCTCATTTTATTCACTTAACAATATATCCTGAGCATTTTGCTATGCTATTAAAACAAAATGAAATTATGAACTACATTGAGGAACACTTATTTAGGTTGTTAGCAAGTTTTTACAATTTGTTTAGGTATACTTTGTACACACTTTTTTTTGCCTATTTGTCCCATTATTTCCATATTTTCACTTTGAAAATGCATCACATTTTTAATGGGTAAAAGGAAGATTTGTTGTTTGGACTAAAAAAATACTTCTCAAATTAAATTTTTAATAAAACAAGTTTTCCATGTTAATTCAGATCTCTTTTAACATTTTGGCACTTTAACACTGAAGACCCCAAGTGCATCAACCAATGACTTCCTATCTTTCCACATCCAGTTAAGTCCTGCATAGCATTTCTAGAAAAATAACTTAGCTAAAGGGTATTTATCCTGTTGATGGACCCTCTGTCCTGAATGCACATATTCTCCATCATTCACAAGCTGAGCATTCTCCAGACCTGAGGAAATCCGTGGTCATACCTGTGTTTCATTGAAATCTTTCACACCAACACAGTAAACGATGGCACCAAGATCTCGGGATCTATTAGCCTGGGTCAAGGAAAGAAAGGAAATTAGAAAGGGAAGCAGCGACCAACAAACATCTCTTGGATTTGCCAACTTCAAAAATCAGACATTTAATGAGCAGCTAAAGTGTGCCGAGTGTCACATAGCAGAAGGCAATCCCTGTTCCCAAGGGGCTAACACTTCAGTAGACAGCACATTCTAATGGTGGACCTAGGGAAGTAAATACTTCACTGAGGAAGGGTTGAAAAAGATAGACCGAAATAGAGTCTTTATGAAAGGCTTTGACAGATAAAGGGAGGAGATAAGCCAAATATTACAGGAAATGATTACCTTTTCTATTCTTCTGATGGATTTTTATTTATGTGCTTTTGTTGGCTTGTAATTGCAGCATGGTATTATGAAAGAATATGGCCTTTGGAACCCGATATACTTGGGTTTGACACCTGGCTTTGTTCTGTATAGTGTACTGGGAATTAAATGGGAAAACATATGCAGGATTCCCCACCCAAGGCCTAGA